AGAAGAGGGGCTGAGCATGGTCTGTGACGCCGAGCTGAAGGTGCCGGTGTTGGCGTCAGTGTCACTGCCGGAGGGGGTGTTGGTGCTGGTATGGGTGCCGGTGCTGCTGGTGGTGCCGATACCCGTTGCTGTTGTGGGTGTTGGTTCTGGTGTCAGTGCAGGTGTCAGTGCTGGTCCCATTGCCAGTGCCGATGTCGGTGCTGATGTCTATTGCTGGTGTTAGTGTCGGTTCTGGAGTCAGTGCTGATGCTGATGTCCACTGCCAGTGCCGGTGTCGGTGCCGATGTCCATTGCTGGTGCTGCTGTCAGTTCTGGTGAAAGTGCAGGTGTTGGTCCTGTTCCCACTGGCGGTGTCGGATCTGATGTCCATTGCCGGGGCTGATGCCCATTGCCGGTGTCGGCTTCGTTTACGGTGTCAGTGCAGGTATCGGTCCCGGTCGCATTGCAGGTGCCGGTGGCGGCAGCCCGGGACGAGCGGGCCTCGGCGGCCCCGGCGGGCGGAGCGGCAGCGCCCCCTGCTGGCCCCGCCCGGCCCCGCCCGCGGCGGTTCGTGCCCGGCCGCAGCCCCGGCTCCTCTGCCCGTGGCCCCCAGCGCGCAGTAATACACGGCCGCGTCCCCGCGCCGGGGCTCAGCGAGCCACAGCGCGCTGGAACTCCGATCTGCCGACACCGTCAGACGCCCTTTAGGGACTCGCACCGCCTTGGAAGCTTTTGCAGTGACTGCCAGGAGTTCGGGTCTTTGCCCAGGCAGCTGACGGTAAAAGTGGATGAAATCGCCAGTCCGGATATTGGCATGTGAGCACTTGATGGTGATGCTGGTGCCCTCGGTGGTCTGCAGGAATGGCTCCTGTTGCAACTGGGCTTTGACCACAGCCACTGTCAGGGAAAGAAAAAGAAAAAACCTCAACTCCTACCTTCTACCCAGCTCTGCTAATTCACAGAACACCGCCCGCAAAAGCTGTCAGGAACACAGAGAGATGAGGAGGAAAACAGTTCCCAGAGGATGTCACGGAGATATGTAGGAGGGGAAGTGTCCATTAATCGCTTGTGCAGAGATGAATGCGTGAATGACAGAAGGATTAGCACAGCCACGGGAGAACGGGAGGTTGTGGGAGAAAGCATAAAAAGACATGAAGAAAATTAACAAGGGGTAAGGACTGACTTCGTCAGTTATAAAGAAGGAATGTTTGTGCAGGTTTTGGGACAGAATAGAAGTTTAAGATGGAGAAGAGGGAGGGATGAATGGGAGAAACGCTCTCGGAAAAAGGTCGGTGAAGAGGCCAGGCAGGACGGCAGCCTCCAGAAACCTGCGGGATCACCCCAGTCCCACGCACCGATGAGCAGCACAGCCAGCGCCGCCAGCGCCGCGGCCCGAGCCCGCCGCATGCCGCCGCTCCGCCGGCCGAGCCTCGCTGTGCCCCTGAGCCCCGGCTCTGCTGCGGCCGTGCCGCCTCCTCTGCGCCGCCCCAGCTCCGCCCCGGCCGCCTCAGCCCCCGCCTCTCTCGGCAGCGGCACAACCAGCGACACAAGGACCTTTGGCACGGCCAGGGACAAGGGACACCTGTGTCCCATCGCACACAGCAGCGACACCGCCTGGGAAGCAGATCCACCCTGCACACACCTGCATTGGGCGGCTGCCGGCCCGGCTCACGCTGTTTGTGAGCCTGGGCAGCAGCTGCTGCTCTGTGCTGGTCAGTGCTCAATGTCCCTGGCATGGTCCGGACATTCCCTCCCGGTCAGGGACACACACGGACAGACCCAGGGCCATCCTCACCAGTGTGGAGCCACAGACAAATCCGTGCTTCACGTGTGTCCATGCAAACGGGACTGCTCCAAGAGCACACAAGGCCGGAACAAAAAACCAGCCCTGGGCACTGCTGAGGACATGTAGAGCCAAAAGCAGCAGGGCTGGAGTGTGGAAGGACAAGGACCCAGAAAACGACAGGGGATATTTTTCCTTCTTTCGAGCCTGTAAAATGCGGAGATAAGTCAAAACAATCCAAAATATTTTCCTAAGGGAAGTGCTAGGATGGATGCTACAAAAACCATCAGACCATTGTCCACACGTGTGAATGCAAATTCTGGTGAGCATCAGGGTGAGATCAGAGTCCCTTTCCCAAGCTCAGCCTTGCCCGAACACATCCCCTCCCTGCCCTGGGTTGTTGCACAGCTGAGGAAGCTCCCTGCACCAGGGTGTCTTGCACAGCACAGAGGTACAAGGCAGAGTCAGAGAGCTCCACTTCCTCCAGCTGCAGGACACTGGATTTGCCCGTGGTGTTCAGCTGTGTGGTGAAACGGCCGCTGCGCTTGGGGCCACTCCCTGCTTGATAGGAGATCATCTCTGGGGCTTGGCCTTTCCTCAGCTGGTACCACAGCAAGCCATTAAAATTACTGGTGTGGTATTTGCAGGTGGTGTGGAAGGGGTGTCCCTGCTTCACCAAGACTGGTCCATGTTCCTGGGTGACCGTGTCCTGCCCCGTGGTGCCTGGAAGAAAGTGATGGTGAGCAGCTCCACAGGGAAAGACAATGGGAAGCAAATGGAAGTGGATGGAAAATCCTGGTGGAGAAAGCTCCCTGCCTTGTAGCAGAGTCCTGAGAGATTTTGGGCAGGAGTTCGGAGCTCTCTGCTCTGCATCACCCAAAGGAGTACTGGGCTGTGTCCCTGCTCCTGCTCCCTCTGCTTGAAGGACCAGGGAACAGGCTGCCATGCCTGAACTTTGTGTGCTGGAACCAGCATCCCTCCAGCTGCCTGGGGTGCCCAGCGTGGTACAGCAGAAAGGTTCATCCTGCTTTCCCCATCGCTGTCATGCCTGAAAGCTCCTGAGCACACACAAAGCTGAGCTTGGAAAGAGGGAGCCCTGGTTATGTCCATGCCAGCGAACACGGGAAACTGTGGCAGAGCTGTGTCAGCCTGGAGGCAGAATGGAACACACTGATATTGTAATGGCATGAAAATCTGTGAGGTGCCTGGGGCAGGTCAGGCAGAATGTGGGAGTTCAGATCTAAATGGGAAGAGTGCTCGATTGCAGAGACAGCTGAGATCTCCTGAAGTGACTGCAGGAGGATGAGAAGAGAGAGTCAGAGGCAGATGGATTGATGGGGAGACAAGAGACAGAGAAGTCTGAATTTTCACTTCTCTCCTTTCCCTTTTCCTTTACAAACCAAGGAGCTTTTTCAGGAAACACTTGCAAAACCACAAAGAGACGCAGAGTATTCTCAGCCTTTTCCTTTTATTCACTGCCATTACCCCCATGGTCCTGATTAGGTTTTCGAGGATATCGTGGGTGGAAGAAGAAGAAGAAGAAGAACAGGGGAGCCTTGGGGAGAAGCCAGGACTTACCCAGGAGCTGGCCCAGGAAGACGGTGAGGATGAGATATGCGAGCTGCATGCCGAGACGCCGCTGCTGAGTGACCAAGTGTTTGCTGAGCGAGGCAGAGGCAGGAAGGAGGTCCCAGCCCCGAGAGAACAGAGCTGCGGAAACGACGCTCGGCGGGAGCAAAGGGAGCAGCGGCGGGAGCAGGCGGAGCCATGACCTGTCCTTGCCGAGCCTGAAATGGTCCTTGTGCGTTTCTGGCTCGTCCAGCAGCAGCCCCCGAGGCTCCCTCAGCCATTGGCATTGTGAGCATTCCGTGCCCCTGGGGCATCAGTGATGGGAAGGGGCAGTTCCTGCTCAGCTCGCAGTGGAGTCCTCAGCTCCGCAGCTGCAATGGGCAGCTCTGCTGCACACCCAGGGCTGGGCATTCAGGAGCTCAGGGGCTTCTTCCCCGCTGAAGTTTCTCATCGTCCTGAGGTGTCCTCAGCTCTGTGGGGTCACTGCTAATCTCTAAATCCTGATGGGTGTTGGAGAGCCCCATGGCTGGGGGCTGCATAGCCTTACAAGCATTCCTTGGTGGGTGCTCTATAACCCCACAAGACCCCATCAAACCTCCATCATCCTCATGTTCCTCTTGTCCCTTCTTGTCAGTGACACGTCCCTGCCTGAGCCAATTCACAGCACTTTCCTAATGGCCCATCAATTAGAAGCTGGAGAGCTCTGAGCTCTCTCTTTGTCCCCTTATCACCTACTACCACATTGGTGTCATTGTGTGCTTTGTTCATCACATTTTCAGTTCCCTTTTCTTTATCCTTTCCTTGGAAAGGAAAATGGTCCTGATGTGAGCCTTAGAGAACCAGACACTCGCCTTTCACATGCCCTGACTGTGGCCTCAGCTGAACTTGCTCAGACCAAGGAGTTTCTGTAGATGCTGAAAGGCACCTGTCCCCTAGGGAAATGGGGTCTCTAGAGCAATTCTGTGGGGGGAAACATCATGTGGAGCTCAGTCTTTCAAGTGTCTCCCTGCAACACTTGCAGCACTGCTAATTCCTGGCATTTTCTTTTACTTATATATCAGGTGTTACCGGTGTGAAGGGAAGGGGATAAATCAGTTTTGGGGGAAAGGTGAGTGTGACAGTGTCCTCAGGGGATTTGAAATGCTCCTCTACTCCAAACGATTTATTATTTTCCCTCTCGGAGGTTCTACTCTTTCAGGATGATGCTGAATGCACATTCATGGATGTCTGTGGACATCTGAGGATGAGAACAAAATATAGAGAGGTGAATTCCATCCTCTGGTGGCATTAAAAGTACACCTGCCTTACACAGAGAGGTGAGAATGCAACTTGCATTATGGAGCAGAGACATTTCTGCAGAGACAGAGATTTCTTTGTCATCTCAATACAAACATCTCTCATGCATTGACTTACTGACCTGGCAGCTGTCCATAAATTAGCCCCTGTGTGCGCGTCGGTAGTGCTGCTTTGTCAGCTCCCAGCGCTGGTGCTCTCAAGGAGCAGCCGGAGGAGTGGTCGGTCTGTGTGTGGGTACAGTGTGAGCGCAGGTTGTGTGCGGATTGGAGGCGTGTTGGGGTCTGTGCGGGGCTGTGCGGTGTCGGTGCTGCGGGCTCGCGGCTCGGGAGCCCGGCGGGCGGAGCGGCAGCGCCCCCTGCTGGCCCCGCTCGGGTCAATGACGGTGCGGGTGTCGGTGCCGATGCCCACTGGCGGTGTCGATCCCGGTCCCATTGCCCGTGCCGGTGTCCATTGCTGGTGACGGTCCCGGCCCCATTGCTGTTGCCGGTGCCGGTGTCGGTTCTGGTGGCGGCCCCGGCCCGGCAGCCCGGGACGAGCGGGGCTCGGCGGCCCCGGCGGGCGGTGCGGCAGCGCCCCCTGCTGGCCCCGCCCGGCCCCGCCCGCGGCGGTTCGTGCCCGGCCGCAGCCCCGGCTCCTCTGCCCGTGGCCCCCAGCGCGCAGTAATACACGGCCGCGTCCCCGCGCCGGGGCTCAGCGAGCCACAGCCAGCTCGAACGCCGATCTGCCGACACCAACAGCTGTCCTGCACCATCCGGCAGCTCTTTGGTCTCTCTCATAGTGAGTGCGAGGAGTTCAGGTGCTTGTCCTGGGAGCTGGCAGTACCACTGGATCGTATCACTGATCTGGATTTGGGGATGTGAACAGGTGATGTTGATGCTGGTGCCCTCGGTGGTCTCCAAGAATGGGTCCTGCTCTACCTGGGCTCTGACTGCATCTACTGCCGGGGAGACAAAAGGAACAAACTTTAACTCCGACTTTCTATCCAGCTCGCCAATCCCCAGAATACAGCCTGCAGAAGCTGTCAGGAACACAGAGAGATGTGGAGGAAAACAGTTCCCAGAGGATGCCACGGAGATATGTAGGAATGCAAGTGTCCACGAATGGTTTATGGAGAGATGAATGCGTGAATGACAGAAGAATAGGCGTAGTCGCTGAAGAATGGGAGGATGCCGGGGGAAAGGACAAAAAGGCAAGAATATTAGAAAGAGGGAAAGATTTATTTAATGATTTATAAAGAAGGAATGTTTGTGCAGGTTTTGGCATAGAATAGAAGTTTAGGATGGAGAAGAGGGAAGGATGAATGGGAGAAAAGCTCTCGGGAAAAGGTCGGTGCAGAAGCCAGGCAGGGCGGCAGCCTCTAGAAACCTGCGGGATCGTCCCATCACCACGCACCGATGAGCAGCACAGCCAGCGCCGCCAGCCCCGCGGCCCGAGCCCGCCGCATGCCGCCGCTCCGCCGGCCGAGCCCCGCTGTGCCCCTGAGCCCCGGCTCTGCTGCGGCCGTGCCGCCTCCTCTGCGCCGCCGCCTGCTCCGCCCCGGCCGCCTCAGCCCCCGCCTCTCACGGCACCGGCACAACCAGCGACACAGGGACCTTTGGCATGGCCAGGGACAAGGGACACCTGTGTCCCATCGCACACAGCAGCGACGCCGCCTGGGAAGCAGATCCACCCTGCACACACCTGCATTGGGCGGCTGCCGGCCCGGCTCACGCTGTTTGTGAGCCTGGGCAGCAGCTGCTGCTCTGTGCTGGTCAGTGCTCGGTGTCCCTGGCACGGTCCGGACATTCCCTTCCGATCACGGACACACACGGACAGACCCAGGGCCGTGCTACCCAATGTGGAGCCACAGACAAATCCGTGCTTCACGTGTATCCATGCAAACGGGGCTGCTCCAAGAGCACACAAGGCAGGGACACAAAACCAGCCCTGGGCACTGCTGAGGACATGTAGGGCCAAAAGAAGCAGGGCTGGAGTGTGGAAGGACAAGGTCCCAGCCAAGGACAACGGCTATTTTTCTTTCCTTAGAGACTACACAATATGGAAATGAGTCAAAATAGTCCAAAATATTTTCCTAAGGGAAGTGCTAGGATGGATGCTACAAAAACCATCAGACCATTGTCCACACGTGTGAATGCAAATTCTGGTGAGCCTCAGGGTGAGATCAGAGTCCCTTTCCCAAGCTCAGCCTTGCCCGAACACATCCCCTCCCTGCCCTGGGTTGTTGCACAGCTGAGGAAGCTCCCTGCACCAGGGTGTCTTGCACAGCACAGAGGTACAAGGCAGAGTCAGAGAGCTCCACTTCCTCCAGCTGCAGGACACTGGATTTGCCCGTGGTGTTCAGCAGTGTGGTGAAACGGCCGCTGCGCTTGGCACCAGACCCTGCTTGATAGGAGATCATCTCTGGGGCTTGGCCTTTCCTCAGCTGGTACCACAGCAAGCCAATAAAATTACTGGTTTGGTATTTGCAGGTGGTGTGGAAGGGGTGTCCCTGCTTCACCCAGACTGGTCCATGTTCCTGGGTGACCGTGTTCTGCCCCGTGGTGCCTGGAAGAAAGTGATGGTGAGCAGCTCCACAGGGAAAGACAATGGGAAGCAAATGGAAGTGGATGGAAAATCCTGGTGGAGAAAGCTCCCTGCCTTGTAGCAGAGTCCTGAGAGATTTTGGGCAGGAGTTCGGAGCTCTCTGCTCTGCATCACCCAAAGGAGTACTGGGCTGTGTCCCTGCTCCTGCTCCCTCTGCTTGAAGGACCAGGGAACAGGCTGCCATGCCTGAACTTTGTGTGCTGGAACCAGCATCCCTGCAGCTGCCTGGGGTGCCCAGCGTGGTACAGCAGAAAGGTTCATCCTGCTTTCCCCATCGCTGTCATGCCTGAAAGCTCCTGAGCACACACAAAGCTGAGCTTGGGAAGAGGGAGCCCTGGTTGTGTCCATGGCATTGAACACAGGAAACTGTGGCAGAGCTGTGTCAGCCTGGAGGCAGAATGGAACACCCTGATATTGTAATGGCATGAAAATCTGTGAGGTGCCTGGGGCAGGTTTGACAGAATATGGGAATTTACATCTAAATGGGAAGAGTGCTCGGTTGTAGAGACAGCTGAGATCTCCTGAAGTGACTGCAGGAGGATGAGAAGAGAGAGTCAGAGGCAGATGGAGTGAAGGCGAGAGAAGAGACAGAGAAGTCTGAGGTTTCATTTCCCTCCTTTCCCTTTTCCTTTACAAATGGAATAGCTTCTTCAGGAAACACTTGCATAACCACAAACAAAAGCAGATTTTTCTTAGCCTTTTCCCTTTATTCACTGCCACTTCTCCCATGGTCCTGATTTGGCATTTGAGGATATCCTGGGCGGAAGAAGAAGAAGAACAGGGGAGCCTTGGGAGAAGCCAGGACTTACCCAGGAGCTGGCCCAGGAAGACGGTGAGGATGAGATATGCGAGCTGCATGCCGAGACGCCGCTGCTGAGTGACCAAGTGTTTGCTGAGCGAGGCAGAGGCAGGAAGGAGGTCCCAGCCCCGAGAGAACAGAGCTGCGGAAACGACGCTCGGCGGGAGCAAAGGGAGCAGCGGCGGGAGCAGGCAGAGCCATGACCTGTCCTTGCCTGCCTGAAATGGTCCTTGTGCGTTTCTGGCTCGTCCAGCAGCAGCCCCCGAGGCTCCCTCAGCCATTGGCATTGTGAGCATTCCGTGCCCCTGGGGCATCAGTGATGGGAAGGGGCTGTTCCTGCTCAGCTCGCAGTGGAGTCCTCAGCTCCGCAGCTGTAATGGGCAGCTCTGTTGCACACCCAGGCCTGCGCATTCAGGAGTTCAGGGGTTTCTTCCTCGCTGAGGTTTCTCATATTTCTGAGGTGTCCTCAGTCCTTTTTGATAATTGGTACTCTCCAAATCCTGATGGGTGTTGGAGAGCCCCATGCCTGGGGGCTGCACAGCCTCACAAGCATTCCTTGCTGGGTGCTCTATAACCTTACATGACCCCTTCAAGCCTCGATTATCCTCATGTTCCTCTTGTCCCTTTTTGTCAGTGACAAGGCTCTGCCTGAGCCAATTCACAGCCATTTCCTAATGGCCCATCAATTAGAAGTTGGGGAGCTCTGAGCTCTCTCTTTGTCCCTTTATCACCTACTGCCAGATTGGTGTCATTGTGTGCTTTATTCATCACTTTCCCTTTTCTTTATCCTTTCCTTGGAAAGAAAAATGGTCCTGATGTGAGCCTTAGAGAACCAGACACTCTCTCCATTCACATGCCCTGACTGTGGCCTCAGCTGAACTTCCTCAGCCCAAGAAGTTCCTGAAGATTCTGAACGGCTGCTGTCTCCAAAGGAAATGGGGTCTCTAGAGCAAGTCTGTGGGGGAAAACATCATGTGGAGCTCAGTCTTTCAAGTGTCTCCCTGCAACACTTGCAGCATTGCTGAACCCTGGTGTTTTCATTTCAGTATGCGTGAGATATTACGGATGTGAAGGGAAAGGGACCAATCAGTTTTGGAGGGACAGGTGAGTGTGACAGTGTCCTCAGGGGATTTGGAATGCTCCTCTACTCCAACCGATTTATTGTTTTCCCTCCCGAATGTTCTGTTGTTTCAGGAAGATATTGAATGCACATCCAAGGCCGTTTGTGGACATCTGAGAATGAGAACAAAATGTAGAGAAGTGAATTTTATCCTCAGGTGGCATTAAAAGTACACCTGCCTTACACAGCCAGGTGAGAATGCAACTTGCAGTATGGAACAGAGACATTTCTGCAGGGATAGAGAGTTCTTTGTCACCTCAATGCAAACACCTCTCATGCATTGACCGACTGACCTACTGGAATTCCGGGAATTAGCTCCTGTGTGCCCGTCGGCTGTGCTGCTTTGTCAGCTCCCAGCCCTGGTGTTCTCAAGGAGCAGCCGTAGGACTGGCCGGTCTGTGTGTGGGGACAGTGTGAGCGCAGGTTGTGTGCGGGTTGGAGGCGTGTTGGGGTCTGTGCGGGGCTGTGCGGTGTCGGTGCTGCGGGCTCGCGGCCCGGGAGCCCGGCGGGCGGATCGGCAGCGCCCCCTGCTGGCCCCGCCCGGCCCCGCCCGCGGCGGTTCGTGCCCGGCCGCAGCCCCGGCTCCTCTGCCCGTGGCCCCCAGCGCGCAGTAATACACGGCCGCGTCCCCGCGCCGGGGCTCAGCGAGCCACAGCCAGCTCGAACTCCGATCTGCCGACACCAACAATTGTCCTGCACCATCCGGCAGCTCTTTGGTCTATCTCATAGTGAGTGCGAGCAGTTCAGGTCCTCGTCCCGGGAGCTGGCGGTACCACTGGATCCTATCACTGATCTGGATTTTGGGATGTGAGCAGGTGATGTTGATGCCGGTGCCCTCGGTGGTCTCCAGGAATGGCTCCTGCTGTACCTGGGCTCTGACTGCATCCACTGCCGGGGAGACAAAAGGAACAAACTTTAACTCCTGCTTTCTACCCAGCTCTACCAATCCCCAGAATAAAGCCTGCAGAAGCTGTCAGGAACACAGAGAGATGTGGAGGAAAACAGTTCCCAGAGGATGCCACGGAGATATGTAGGAATGCAAGTGTCCACGAATGGTTTATGGAGAGATGAATGCGTGAATGACAGAAGAATAGGCGTAGTCGCTGAAGAATGGGAGGATGCGGGAGAAAGCAGAAAAAGGCAAGAATATTAGAAAGAGGGAAAGATTTATTTAATGAGTTATAAGGAAGGAATTTTTGTGCATGTTTTGGCATAGAATAGAAGTTTAGGATGGAGAAGAGGGAGGGATGAATGGGAGAAACGCTCTCGGGAAAAGGTCGGTGAAGAGGCCAGGCAGGGCGGCAGCCTCTAGAAACCTGCGGGATCGTCCCATCACCACGCACCGATGAGCAGCACAGCCAGCGCCGCCAGCACCGCGGCCCGAGCCCGCCACATGCCGCCGCTCCGCCGGCCGAGCCCCGCTGTGCCCCTGAGCCCCGGCTCTGCTGCGGCCGTGCCGCCTCCTCTGCGCCGCCCCAGCTCCGCCCCGGCCGCCTCAGCCCCCGCCTCTCACGGCACCGGCACAACCAGCGACACAAGGACCTTTGGCATGGCCAGGGACAAGGGACAGCTGTGTCCCATCGCACACAGCAGCGACACCGCCTGGGAAGCAGATCCACCCTGCACACACCTGCATTGGGCGGCTGCCGGCCCGGCTCACGCTGTTTGTGAGCCTGGGCTGCAGCTGCTGCTCTGTGCTGGTCATTGCTCGGTGTCATTGGCATGGTCAGGACATTCCCTCCCGATCACGGACACACACGGACAGACCCAGGGCCGTGCTCTCCAGTGTGGAGCCACAGACAAATCCGTGCTTCACGTGTGTCCATGCAAACGGGGCTGCTCCAAGAGCACACAAGGCCGGAACACAAAACCAGCCCTGGGCACTGCTGAGGACATGTAGGGCCAAAAGCAGCAAGGCTGGAGTGTGGAAGGACAAGGTCCCAGCCAAGGACAGCGGGTATTTTTCTTTCCTTAGAGACTGCACAATATGGAAATGAGTCAAAATTGTCCAAAATATTTTCCTAAGGGAAGTGCTAGGATGGATGCTACAAAAACCATCAGACCATTGTCCACACGTCTGAATGCAAATTCTGGTGAGCCTCAGGGTGAGATCAGAGTCCCTTTCCCAAGCTCAGCCTTGCCCGAACACATCCCCTCCCTGCCCTGGGTTGTTGCACAGCTGAGGAAGCTCCCTGCACCAGGGTGTCTTGCACAGCACAGAGGTACAAGGCAGAGTCAGAGAGCTCCACTTCCTCCAGCTGCAGGACACTGGATTTGTCCGTGGTGTTCAGCTGTGTGGTGAAACGGCCGCTGGTCTTGGGGCCACTCCCTGCTTGATAGGAGATCATCTCTGGGGCTTGGCCTTTCCTCAGCTGGTACCACAGCAAGCCAGTAAAAAAACTGGTGTGGTATTTGCAGGTGGTGTTGAAGGGGTGTCCCTGCTTCACCAAGACTGGTCCATGTTCCTGGGTGACCGTGTCCTGCCCCGTGGTGCCTGGAAGAAAGTGACGGTGAGCAGCTCCACGGGGAAAGACAATGGGAAGCAAATGGAAGTGGATGGAAAACCCTGGTGGAGAAAGCTCCTGCATTGGAGCAGAGTCCTGAGAGATTTTGGGCAGGAGTTCGGAGCTCTTTGCTCTGCATGACCAAAAGGAGAGCTGGGCTGTGTCCCTGCTCCTGCTCCCTCTGCTTAAAGGACCAGGGAACAGGCTGCCATGCCTGAACTTTGTGTGCTGGAACCAGCATCCCTGCAGCTGCCTGAGGTGCCCAGCGAAGTACAGCAGAAAGGTTCATCCTGCTTTCCCCATCGCTGTCATGCCTGAAAGCTCCTGAGCACACACAAAGCTGAGCTTGGGAAGAGGGAGCCCTGGTTGTGTCCATGCCAGCGAACAGGGGAGCTGTGGCAGAGCTGTGGCAGCCTGGAGGCAGAATGGAACACACTGATATTGTAATGGCATGAAAATCTGTGAGGTGCCTGGGGCAGATTAGACAGAATATGGGAATTTAGATCTAAATGGGAAGAGTGCTCGATTGCAGAGACAGCTGAGATCTCCTGAAGTGACTGCAGGAGGATGAGAAGAGAGAGTCAGAGGCAGATGGATTGATGGGGAGAGAAACAACATAGAAAGGACTGAGGTTTAATTTCTCTCCTTTCCCTTTTGCTTTACAAACCAAGGAGCTTCTTCAGGAAACAGTTGCAAAACCACAAACAAAAGCAGATTTTCCTTTTCCCTTTATTCCAGGTCTTTCCTCTTTATTCACTGCCACTTCCCCCATGGTCCTGATTAGGATTTTGAGCATATCCTTGGCGGAAGAAGAAGAACAGGGGAGCCTTGGGGAGAAGCCAGGACTTACCTAGGAGCTGGCCCAGGAAGACGGTGAGGATGAGATATGCGAGCTGCATGCCGAGACGCCCCTGCTGAGTGACCAAGTGTTTGCTGAGCGAGGCAGAGGCAGGAAGGAGGTCCCAGCCCCGAGAGAACAGAGCTGCGGAAACGACGCTCGGCGGGAGCAAAGGGAGCAGCGGCGGGAGCAGGCGGAGCCATGACCTGTCCTTGCCTGCCTGAAATGGTCCTTGTGCGTTTCTGGCTCGTCCAGCAGCAGCCCCCGAGGCTCCCTCAGCCATTGGCATTGTGAGCATTCCGTGCCCCTGGGGCATCAGTGATGGGAAGGGGCAGTTCCTGCTCAGCTCGCAGTGGAGTCCTCAGCTCCGCAGCTGCAATGGGCAGCTCTGCTGCACACCCAGGGCTGGGCATTCAGGAGTTCAGGGGTTTCTTCCCCGCTGAAGTTTCTCATCGTCCTGAGGTGTCCTCAGCTCTGTGGGGTCACTGCTAATCTCCAAATCCTGATGGGTGTTGGAGAACCCCATGGCTGGGGGCTGCATAGCCTTACAAGCATTCCTTGGTGGGTGCTCTATAACCCCACAAGACCCCCTCAAACCTCCATCATCCTCATGTTCCTCTGGTCCCTTCTTGTCAGTGACAAGTCGCTGCCTGAGCCAATTCACAGCACTTTCCTAATGGCCCATCAATTAGAAGCTAGAGAGCTCTGAGCTCTCTCTTTGTGCCCTTATCACCTACTGCTACATTGGTGTCATTGTGTGCTTTGTTCATTACTTTCCCCTTTTTTTATGGTTTCCTTGGAAAGGAAAATTGTCCTGATGTGAGCCTTAGAGAACCAGGCGCTCTCGGATTTCACATGCCCTGACTGTGGCCTCACCTGAACTTGGTCAGACCAAGGAGCTCCTGAAGATGCTGAAAGGCTGCTGTCCCCAAAGGAAATGGGGTCTCTAGAGCAAGTCTCTGGAGGAAAACCTAATGTGTGGTTCTGTCTTTCAAGTGTCTCCCTGCAACACTTGCGGCACTGCTAAATCCTGGCATTTGTTCTTCTGAATGCTGGAGAGTTTACTTACGTGAAGGGAAAGGGACAAATTAGTTTTGGGGGACAGGTAAGTGTGACAGTGTCCTCAGGGCATTTGAAATGCTGCTCTACTGCAATGGATTTAATGGTTTCCGTTCCGACTGTTCTATTGGTTCAAGAAGATGCTGTACGCACAGCCATGGGTGTCTGTGGACATCTGAGGATGAGAACAAAATGTAGAGAAGTGAATTCCAAACTCGGGTGGGATTGAAATTACACCTCTGCTATCCATCCCTGAGAGAATGCTGCTTCTTATTGACCTTGCAGTATGGAACAGAGACATTTTTGCAGGGACAGAGATGGGGATTCCTCTGTCACCTCCGAAAGCCTCACTGCGAACCCCTCTCATGTCACGACCTACTGAGGTGATAGTACCTCATGGATTAGCCCCTGTGTACCTGTCGTTTGTGCTGCTTTGTCAGCTCCCAGCCCTGGTGCTCTCAAGGAGCAGCTCTTTGCTTCGCAAAGCAGGCTGAGAACAGCAGCAACAGTGGCGGGAGGGCAAGAGGCGCTGGCAGAGGCGCTGACCGCAGCAGTTTGAGCCTGCAGAGGCGGGCTCGGGAGCGAGGGGAGGTCGGGCTGTGTGAGTGCAGGTTGTGGGCAGATGTGAGGCGTGTTTGGGGATGTGCGGGGCTGTGCGGTGTCGGTGCTGCGGGCTCGGGGCAGAGGAAGGAGCTGCGCAGGCGCGGCCCGGGAGCCCGGCGGGCGGAGCGGCAGCGCCCCCTGCTGGCCCCGCCCGGCCCCGCCCGCGGCGGTTCGTGCCCGGCCGCAGCCCCGGCTCCTCTGCCCGTGGCCCCCAGCGCGCAGTAATACACGGCCGCGTCCCCGCGCCGGGGCTCAGCGAGCCACAGCCAGCTCGAACGCCGATCTGCCGACACCAACAGCTGTCCTGCACCGTCCGGCAGCTCTTTGGTCTCTTTCAGAGTGAGTGCGAGGAGTTCAGGTCCTTGGCCAGGGAGCTGGCGGTACCACTGGATCCAGTCAGTGGGTTGGATTTTGGGATGTGAGCAGGTGATGTTGATACCGGTGCCCTCGGTGGTCTCCAGGAATGGCTCCTGCTGTACCTGGGCTCTGACCGCAGCCACTGCCAGGGAGACAAAAGGAACAAACTTTAACTCCTACTTTCTACCCATCTCTGCCAATCCCCAAGGCAAAGCCCGCGAAAACAGCCAGGAACACAGAGAGATGAGGAGGATAACGGTTCCCAGAAGATGTCATGCAGATACGTAGGAATGGAAGTGTCCATTAATCGCTTGTGGGGAGATGAATGTGTGCATGACAGAAGGATTAGGAGAGCCACGGGAGAACGGGAGGATGTGAGAGACGGCACAAAAAGACAAGGAGAATATTAGAAGGGCGTAAGGACTGAGTTCATGTGTTATAAAGAAGGAATGTTTGTGCAGGTTTTGGCACAGAATAGAAGTTTGGGATGGAGAAGAGGGAGGGATGAATGGGAGAACAGCTCTCCGGAAAAGGTCGGTGCAGAAGCCAGGCAGGACGGCAGCCTCCGGACACCTGCGGAATCACCCCAGCCCCACGCACCGATCAGCACCACAACCAGCGCCGCCAGCGCCGCGGCCCGAGCCCGCCGCATGCCGCCGCTCCGCCGGCCGAGCCTCGCTGTGTCCCTGAGCCCCGGCTCTGCTGCGGCCGTGCCGCCTCCTCTGCGCCGCCGCCTGCTCCGCCCCGGCCGCCTCAGCCCCGGCCTCTCACGGCACTGGAACAACCAGCGACACAGGGACCTTTGGCATGGCCAGGGACAAGGGACAGCTGTGTCCCATCGCACACAGCAGCGACACCGCCTGGGAAGCAGATCCACCCTGCACACACCTGCATTGGGCGGCTGCCGGCCCGGCTCACGCTGTTTGTGAGCCTGGGCAGCTGCTGCTCTGTGCTGGTCAGTGCTCGGTGTCATTGGCATGGTCAGGACATTCCATCCCGATCACGGACACACACGGACAGACCCAGGGCCGTGCTCTCCAGTGTGGAGCCACAGACAAATCCGTGCTTCACGTGTCGCCATGCAAACGGGGCTGCTCCAAGAGCACACAAGGCAGGGACACAAAACCAGCCCTGGGCACTGCTGAGGACATGTGGGGCCAAAAGCAGCAGGGCTGGAGTGTGGAAGGACAAGGTCCCAGCCAAGGACAACGGCTATTTTTCTTTCCTTAGAGACTACACAATATGGAAATGAGTCAAAATAGTCCAAAATATTTTCCTAAGGGAAGTGCTAGGATGGATGCTACAAAAACTATCAGACCATTGTCCACACGTGTGAATGCAAATTCTGGTGAGCATCAGGGTGAGATCAGAGTCCCTTTCCCAAGCTCAGCCTTGCCCGAACACATCCCCTCCCTGCCCTGGGTTGTTGCACAGCTGAGGAAGCTCCCTGCACCAGGGTGTCTTGCACAGCACAAAGGTACAAGGCAGAGTCAGAGAGCTCCACTTCCTCCAGCTGCAGGACACTGGATTTGTCCGTGGTGTTCAGCTGTGTGGTGAAACGGCCGCTGGTCTTGGGGCCACTCCCTGCTTGATAGGAGATCAGCTCTGGGGCTTGCCCTTTCCTCAGCTGGTACCAAAACAAGGCAGTAAAAGCACTGGTGTGGTATTTGCAGGTGGTGTGGAAGGGGTGTCCCTGCTTCACCCAGACTGGTCCATGTTCCTGGGTGACCGTGTCCTGCCCCGTGGTGCCTGGAAGAAAGTGATGGTGAGCAGCTCCACGGGGAAAGACAATGGGAAGCAAATGGAAGTGGATGGAAAACCCTGGTGGAGAAAGCTCCTGCATCGGAGCAGAGTCCTGAGAGATTTTGGGCAGGAGTTCGGAGCTCTTTGCTCTGCATGACCAAAAGGAGAGCTGGGCTGTGTCCCTGCTCCTGCTCCCTCTGCTTGAAGGACCAGGGAACAGGCTGCCATGCCTGAACTTTGTGTGCTGGAACCAGCATCCCTGCAGCTGCCTGAGGTGCCCAGCGAGGTACAGCAGAAAGGTTCATCCTGCTTTCCCCATCGCTGTCATGCCTGAAAGCTCCTGAGCACACACAAAGCTGAGCTTGGGAAGAGGGAGCCCTGGTTATGTCCATGCCAGCGAACACGGGAAACTGTGGCAGAGCTGTGTCAGCCTGGAGGCAGAATGGAACACCCTGATATTGTAATGGCATGAAAATCTGTGAGGTGCATGGGGCAGGTTTGACAGAATGTGGGAATTTTGATCTAAATGGGAAGAGTGCTCGATTGCAGAGACAGCTGAGATCTCCTGAAGTGACTGCAGGAGGATGAGAAGAGAGAGTCAGAGGCAGATGGATTGATGGGGAGAGAAACAACATAGAAAGGACTGAGGTTTAATTTCTCTCCTTTCCCTTTTGCTTTACAAACCAAGGAGCTTCTTCAGGAAACAGTTGCAAAACCACAAACAAAAGCAGATTTTCCTTTTCCCTTTATTCCAGGTCTTTCCTCTTTATTCACTGCCACTTCCCCCATGGTCCTGATTAGGATTTTGAGCATATCCTTGGCGGAAGAAGAAGAAGAAGAACAGGGGAGCCTTGGGGAAAAGCCAGGACTTACCCAGGAGCTTGCCCAGGAAAACGGTGAGGATGAGATATGCGAGCTGCATGCCGAGACGCCCCTGCTGAGTGACCAAGTGTTTGCTGAGCGAGGCAGAGGCAGGAAGGAGGTCCCAGCCCCGAGAGAACAGAGCTGCGGAAACGACGCTCGGCGGGAGCAAAGGGAGCAGCGGCGGGAGCAGGCGGAGCCATGACCTGTCCTTGCCTGCCTGAAATGCTCCTTGTGCGTTTCTGGCTCGTCCAGCAGCAGCCCCCGAGGCTCCCTCAGCCATTGGCATTGTGAGCATTCCGTGCCCCTGGGGTCTCAGTGATGGGAAGGGGCTGTTCCTGCTCAGCTCGCAGTGGAGTCCTCAGCTCCGCAGCTGCAATGGGCAGCTCTGCTGCACACCCAGGCCTGGGCATTCAGGAGCTCAGGGGCTTCTTCCCTGCTGAAGTTTCTCACCGTCCTGAGGTGTCCTCAGTTCTTTTTGGTCACTGCTAATCTCCAAATCCTGATGTGTGTTCAGAGCCCCATGGCTGGGGGCTGCACAGCCTCACAAGCATTCCTTGGTGGGTGCTCCCTAACCCCACAAGACCCCCTCAAACCTCCCTTATCCTCATGTTCCTCTGGTCCCTTCTTGTCAGTGACAAGTCCCTGCCTGGGCCAATTCACAGCCCTTTCCTAATGGCCCATCAATTAGAAGCTGGGGAGCTCTGAGCTCTCTCTTTCTCCCCTTATCACCTACTGCCAGATTGGTGTCATTGTGTGCTTTGTTCATCACTTTCCCTTTTCTTTATCCTTTCCTTGGAAAGGAAAATGGTCCTGATGTGAGCCTTAGAGAACCAGACACTCTCTCCTTTCACATGCCCTGATTGCAACCTCAGCTGAAGTTGGTGAGCCCAAGGAGTTCCTGAAGATGCTGAAAGGCACCTGTCCCCAAAGGAAATGGGGTCTCTAGAGCAATTCTCTGGGGGGAAACATCATGTGGAGCTCATTCTGTCAAGTGTCTTCCTGCAACACTTGCAGCATTGCTATACCCTGCATTTTCTTTTTAGTATACGTGAGATGTTACTGAGGTGAGGGAAAGGGACCAATCAGTTTTGGGGGAAAGGTGAGTGTCACAGTGTCCTCAGGAGATTTTAAATACTCCTCTACTCCAGTCGATTTACTGTTTTCCCTTCTGGGTGTTCTGCTATTTCAGGAAGATGCAGAATGCACATCCAAGGGCGTTTTGGGGAAACCTGAGGAACAGAACAAAAACGAGGGGTGAATTCCATCCTCAGGCGGCATTAAATGTGCACCTGTCTTACACAGCCAGCTGAGGATGCACCTTGCAGTATGGAACAGAGACATTTCTGCAGAGACAGAGATTTCTTTGTCACCTCAATGCAAACCCCTCTCATGCATTGACCTACTGACCGGACAGCACCTCATGGATTGGCCACGGTGTGCCTGTCGGCTGTGCTGCTTTGTCAGCTCCCAGCCCTGGAGCTCTAAAGGAGCAGCCGGAGGAGAGGCCGGACTGTGTTCGGGGACTGTGTGAGGGCAGGTTGTCGGCGGTTGTGAAGCGTGTGGGGGTCTGTGCGGGGCTGTGCGGTGTCGGTGCTGCGGGCTCGGGGCAGAGGAAGGAGCTGCGCAGGCGCGGCCCGGGAGCCCGGCGGGCGGATCGGCAGCGCCCCCTGCTGGCCCCGCTCGGGTCAATGACGGTGTCGATGGTGGTGTGGGTCCTGGTCCCATTGCGAGATCGGTACCGATGTCCATCGCCGGTGCCGTTGCCGGTCCCATTGCCGGTGCCAGTGTCAGTGCCGGCGGCGGCAGCCCGGGACGAGCGGGGCTCGGCGGCCCCGGCGGGCGGAGCGGCAGCGCCCCCTGCTGGCCCCGCCCGGCCCCGCCCGCGGCGGTTCGTGCCCGGCCGCAGCCCCGGCTCCTCTGCCCGTGGCCCCCAGCGCGCAGTAATACACGGCCGCGTCCCCGCGCCGGTGCTCAGCGAGCCACAGCCAGCTCGAACGCCGATCTGCCGACACCAACAGCTTTCCTGCACCGTCCGGCAGCTCTTTGGTCTCTTTCAGAGTGAGTGCGAGGAGTTCAGGTCCTTGGCCAGGGAGCTGACGGTACCACTGGATCCAATAACCAGTTTGGATTTTGGGATGTGAGCAGGTGATGTTGATGCTGGTGCCCTCGGTGGTCTGCAGGAATGGCTCCTGCTGTACCTGGGCTCTGACTGCATCCACTGCCGGGGAGACAAAAGGAACAAACTTTAACTCCTACTTTCTATCCAGCTCTGCCAATCCTCAGAACATAGCCTGCAGAAGCTGTCAGGAACACAGAGAGATGTGGAGGAAAACAGTTCCCAGAGGATGTCACGGGGATATGTAGGAATGGAAGTGTCCACGAATGGTTTATGGAGAGATGAATGCGTGAATGACAGAAGAATAGGCGTAGTCGCTGAAGAATGGGAGGATGCGGGAGAAAGCAGAAAAAGGCAAGAATATTAGAAAGAGGGAAAGATTGATTTAATGAGTTATAAAGAAGGAATGTTTGTGCAGGTTTTGGCATAGAATAGAAGTTTAGGATGGAGAAGAGGGAGGGATGAATGGGAGAAACGCTCTCCGGAAAAGGTCGGTGAAGAGGCCAGGCAGGACGGCAGCCTCCGGACACCTGCGGAATCACCCCAGCCCCACGCACCGATGAGCAGCACAGCCAGCGCCGCCAGCGCCGCGGCCCGAGCCCGCCGCATGCCGCCGCTCCGCCGGCCGAGCCCCGCTGTGCCCCTGAGCCCCGGCTCTGCTGCGGCCGTGCCGCCTCCTCTGCGCCGCCCCAGCTCCGCCCCGGCCGCCTCAGCCCCGCCTCTCACGGCACCGGCACAACCAGCGACACAGGGACCTTTGACACGGCCAGGGACAAGGGACAGCTGTGTCCCATCGCACACAGCAGCGACACCGCCTGGGAAGCAGATCCACCCTGCACACAGCGGCATTGGGCGGCCGCCGGCCCCGTTCACGCTGTTTGTGAGCCTGGGCTGCAGCTGCTGCTCTGTGCTGGTCAGTGCTCGGTGTC